CACAACCACCCCTGGAGAGACATCAGGGCAAAGGGTTTGGGCTTCAGGTGGGGAAGGAGCAGCAGAAGTGCTCAAACCACAGAGAGAGCTCGGACAGAGCCAGGAAGGAAATGAAGGGACATGGGGGGAGAAGGAAAACTCAGCAAGAGCCCATCACTGAGTCAGGGAATGCCTTCCAGATCCATCACTGAGGCAGGGAATGCCTTCCAGATCCCAGGTCCTGCTCTGCCCCGTGCCAGGGATGCCATGGAGCCACGTGGGAATGATTCAGCGAGGTCTGGGATGAAGCAGGGGAAGCCTCTCGAGCTTCCCACTCCTCTTGCTGCTCTCCACTGCTCTTCTGCTCATTTTTGGGGCAGAGCTGCCTTGCTTGGCCAAGCATCTCTCTCCAGAGGTGCTGATTGGCTTGTGCTCATTCTTTCTTCCTGCAGCATCAAGCCCATATTCTGTTTCCTTGAAGGTTTTTTTCCCCTCCCCAGGAAAATTTTTTTGAAGAAAATTCTCTGGGATTTGAGAAACAACTTGGCATTTCTGAGGGGGTTGGAGATGTGTCCAAAGGCCAGTGCTGGGAACTCCCAGCTCTCTTCACACAGATCTCTGCTTTCAGACAAATCCAGTCTGACCATAAAACAACAGAACCAAACCCAGCCCTCAGACCTGTCCCATGGAGCAGTCCAAGGGGATGTGGTTCTAACCCCCAGAGCATGGTACCCACTGCTCCTGCTCCCAGAGGGTGTCAGCTCCAGCACAGCACACCGAGCTCACAGGAACAGGCAAATTCCAGCATCACCCACTGGGGAGACCTGGGTTCTGTGTGGGGTAATTCCCACTTAGAATCCTGAAATGTTATGGGTTGGAAGGCTCCTTAAAGCTCACCCAGTCCCACCCCCTGCCATGGGCAGGGACACCTTCCACCAGCCCAGGTTGCTCCAGGTCCCATCCAACCTGGCCTTGGACACTTCCAGGGATGGGGCAGCCACAGCTTCTCTGGGCAATCTGTGCCAGGGCCTCCCCACCCTCACAGGGAGGAATTTCTTCCCAATATCCCATCTAAGCCATTTCCTCTTGTCCTGTCCCTGCATCCCTTGTCCCAAGCCCCTCTCCAGCTCTCCTGGTGTGGAAGGGGCTCTTGGGTCTCCCTGGAACCTTCCCTTCCCCAGGTGAACGCCCCCAGCTCTCCCAGCCTGGCTCCAGCCCTTGGAGCACCTCCCTGGTCTCCTCTGGACTCACTCCAGCAGCTCCAGGTCCTTCTGATGTTGATTCCCGGCAGCTGGAGGCAGCGCTGGAGGCAGGTGGGGTCTCACCTGAGTGGGGCAGAGAGGGAGAACCTGCCCCTCCCGTGTTGCCCCCACAGCCGGGTCTGCAGCCCGGGGCACGGTGGATTTTGGGCTGGGAGCCCAAATCGGCGGGTCGTGTCCCGCTCACACCCCGAGCCCCGGGGCGCTCCCGCTCCC